CGGTGTATTAACATTTGATCCCGTGTAGGATCTGCAGAACCTCGCTTGATGCGATGGTTATATTTGATCCCGTGTAGGATCTGCAGAACCTCGCTTGATGCGATGGTTATATTTGATCCCGTGTAGGATCTGCAGAACCTCGCTTGATGCGATGGTTATATTTGACCCCGTGTAGGATCTGCAGAACCTCGCTTGATGCGATGGTTATATTTGATCCCGTGTAGGATCTGCAGAACCTCGCTTGATGCGATGGTTATATTTGATCCCGTGTAGGATATGCAGAACCTCGCTTGATGCGATGGTTATATTTGATCCCGTGTAGGATCTGCAGAACCTCGCTTGATGCGATGGTTATATTTGATCCCGTGTAGGATCTGCAGAACCTCGCTTGATGCGATGGTTATATTTGATCCCGTGTAGGATCTGCAGAACCTCGCTTGATGCGATGGTTATATTTGATCCCGTGTAGGATCTGCAGAACCTCGCTTGATGCGATGGTTACATTTGATCCCATGTAGGATCTGCAGAACCTCGCTTGATGCGATGGTTATATTTGATCCCGTGTAGGATCTGCAGAACCTCGCTTGATGCGATGGTTATATTTGATCCCGTGTAGGATCTGCAGAACCTCGCTTGATGCGATGGTTATATTTGATCCCGTGTAGGATCTGCAGAACCTCGCTTGATGCGATGGTTATATTTGATCCCGTGTAGGATCTGCAGAACCTCGCTTGATGCGATGGTTATATTTGATCCCGTGTAGGATCTGATAAGTGATAGGTTCATAGGAGAATCTGGCGGATGAATGTGTCGGTCCCTATGAGTTGCACTATCGTCTTCAGATGATGAACGGAGAATAATCTCTAAGAATATAATAGTATATATGTATGTATGGTCTGATAGATGGGAGGATGACGTTGAAGTAAGCGTGGAGGAGTTGTACTCACTAGGGTAGAATGGCAATGTGTCGTTCCTAGTGAAGAAGTTACCGGGGTAGAATGACTGAGATGTTGTTCCCGGTAGGGCATGAGCGATATGCCCATAACCCGAAAAGAGGATTGAGGATATTAGATGAGTATTATACGAATCGCACGACACGGTTGCGGTTGTCATATGTAATATGCATGCGTGTAGGAATTGATGGGACGCGGATAGCGAATAAATGAATGTGTAGGATATTGACTAATGGATGAATGGTTTAGTGTGAGTGTATACGTCTAAGTGTATTTGATGTAGTGAGAATTTATTACTACGCACCGTAGTGAAAAGTTGTAGAATATAGGCATTCGGTACTTGTGTATATATATATATATATATATATATATATATATATATATATATATATATATATATATATATATATATATATATATATATATATATATATATATATATATATATATATATATATATATATATATATATATATATATATCTTATGCCTTGATTATTATGATATGTTTCTCACCCTTCTGTTGTTTTATAATGCCCTGCGAGGCATTGCAGATTAGGATCCGCTGGAGGTTTCCTTTGGAGTATAGTTCTTTTTCCTCGTGTCGGTCGCTCTGATATGTAACTTTGGGTAGATAGGCTTGTAGAATGTCTTGTTTGTATGTGAATGAAGTTGTGAACAACCGGATGACATGTAATTACGTTTTGTCATGTCTTAAGTGAATATATATATGTTTTAGTCTTCCGCTTTAAGAGAAACATGAATATGAAATTTCGAAGAATCATGCGTTTATTTTTAGTTGAGATTTACCCCTTTTGAGTTAATTCCTTTTAAACCTTAATATTCATGTGGTCGTTCCGTGGGTATTGTGACGCACTCTTTTTATACCTTAATGTAAATATACTCTGATGAAAAATAAAATACTTATATTCGTGGCTATATGATTTGATATGTGATTATTTTGGGGTATAGAATGGGGGCGTTACAATGGTCGCCTAGACGCCCAGAGGACGATGTTGGGATAACCCAAACCCTTCGGAGTACCCGGACAATACCCATCTTTTGTCTTCGGCGTATACATCGAATCGTGCCCGGGGTACTCGTCAACTACCCTTGGGACGTTCAAAGTCTTAACAATTGTCCCCGGACAACCCATCACAAGGGCCGAGGACAATCAATCGTAACCCTAATTTTGAAGAACCCTCCGGCGTATTCACCGGAAAAGCCCGTGGCCACCCCGACGCCCCCAACGGAGCCGCCAGAACCACCACCAGAAATACTTGAAAGCACCAGAAGGGAGATAGGAACTTACGGGATATTGTGCAGAAAAGGATGTCGCGTCGAGCAAGAGATTGTGGAGGTCGAACAGAAAGATTGAAGGCGCTGGGCAGATATCTTAAGATGTCGAGCAGCGGAAAAAGAAACGAATGAACAAAAAGACGACCTGGACCAGTGTATATATATGCCCTAGCACGGAAAACGAAGCGTCGTTAGGCTCTCAAGTACCTAGCCCATAGCCTCCGCAGAAGGACACGTGGCGACCCTCTGCCTTCCCTGCGTCTCTTCAGATTCCCCTTATCGAACGAGGGCTCCCCGTAAATCACGGACTCACTCGACCAGTATGACCGCGACCTGCTCGACATAGCCACATGCCCGACTCCCTTCGCACCTTAATTCATAGCTCGTTCAATCACGAGCAACGACTTAGGAGCTACTGTTCTGGACTGGGCCGATGCCTGGCCCATAGTCGGACAGACCCAAACCCCACCAGGTTGGAAGGCCCAACAAGACCCCTCGCCCAGCAGTAGGAGGTCTGTCGGGCAGAACATCTTCTCCCGTCGGGCACAGACCAACAACAGTCAGGCAGAACCGTCGTAGCTGCCCGGAAGCCTTCTCCTGCCCCACGGTCGAGCAGACCCTCAGACCTCCCCCACGTTCTCTACGTGCCCCCTATGCGGGGACACGTCATCAAGTAACTACCCGTGTCCTGGCGATTCGGTCTTCCACCTCCCGGATAGCACGGAACAGTTACCATAGGGCGAAGACCACATGCTGGTCTTCACGACGCCACGTCAGCCCTAGGAGTTACCAACGTTGGGCCTGACAGCCCAGCCTAACGCGTGGTAACCATTGGCCCTGCGCTGGGGGCTCATTATAAATACCCTCTTCCACTAGAGGGTCAGGTAATCAATTCTCACTCCTTTTCTCTGTACTTGTTATCGCTCTGCTTGTCGCTTACTTTGGCATCAGAGTGTGTTTCAGGTACACCCATCTCTGTCCGTCAAGTCTACCATTCGACAGCTTAGACGCGTGGCAGCCCAACGATCTCTCTGATCAGGTACGATCACTAATTAATATTATTTTGCTCATTTTCAATATTTGATAAAAGATACTTTAATAAAAATGTTAGGGTTAAATATATCAAAGATCCTCGTAAATATACCAATATTCAATTTTAATCTCTCTAAAATTTTTCTTCAAACAATGATCCTCGCAAATTTTTCTATCCCTAAAATTGGTCTCTCCCGTTAGTTTCCACTAACTGAAGCTTACGTCACATGTCACATGTACGTTTTTTTTACACATATGATTTTTTTTTGGTTTTATTTAATTAAATTGTAGGGTTATAAACCTCCCATAAGTTCCTAAATTCTCTTAAACATTTCATATCAAACAGCTTCTAAGCAATCTTTTTCCAATTGATCTTTCAAGCTCCGCTCTCTCAATACAACCTCAATAATAACATTAACTACTTGGTCTTGTCTCACAATTCTCAATACGACCTCATCACGTTTCTGTTTCAACCTTCGGATCTCATCAATCCTCTCTTTCTCTTTACTATACTTGATTTCAGGGGTTAAAGCTTGTCTCTTAAGTTATCAAGCTCTTTTCGCACTTGTAAATACCATCAACGATGAGAACGTATTTACCTGACTAATAGTTGAACAACCTCAACGAAGAAAGCCATGTCAGATACTCTCTATAAAAAAGCAACACACATAAATTGGAAGACATATGAGTTGGAAATAGAATAAAAGGGGGAAATAACATCTCAATGAACACATAAATAGTTCAAAAATATTTTTAAAAATCAGATAAGAACCCGAATAGCACCGAGCTTGAGCCCATAGCAAATATAAGATCTATTAATCATAATTTTTTGACCAAGCACTAGACCAAGATTAGATGCATACTTAGTAATTAGAGTAACTTCAAGCTGAGACTCCGTTTTCCCTGACAACTTAACATCAATGTCATAAACAACATTATCTCCTTTCATTGTAGGTGTAGATATTGACAATCATCGTGAGACTTGCCATGTTCGAACCTGAAGAAGGGTTTGCTGACAGTGAAAACTCAAAAATTGACGGTGATGCTTTTGAAGAATCTTAATTTGAAGGAGAGTTTTGTGTGAAAGAAACAAATTTGTATTTATGGTTGTGTTTTAGAGAGGTTTAAAACCCCCACAATTTAAAGCTTTTTCTTTTTTGAGTTTTGAGTTTTAGAGACGTGACAATTAAAATTTACATGTTTAAAAAACAAAATTGACATAACACCTAAATCTCTATTAATGAAAACTAATAAGAGGAACAATTTTAAAGATGAAAAAGATTGTGAAAAAAAATTAAAATTAAATGTTAACATATTTAAAGAAATATTTATCTCAAAATATTAAATGGGTACAACAAATACATAAGCCTAACTTATACATGTGGAGCTGATTGTTGCAATTTCGTTCGACTTTCGGCTATTGCTTGGTTGATGGGGTTCGACAGTCACTTGTGAAAACTGAAAGCCAGAATTTGCGAAAATGAATGTTATTGACCTATGAGAGTATCAACGCTCTTCGATTCATACGTGAGCTTCAGATTCAATCCAACTTCGACGAAGTTTTGATTCCATTCGGAGAATTTTCAAGCACTCTTTTTCAGTGCCTTTTCAAATCCACACTTTAATGTTTCACGGGTAATTGAAATGAGACAGAAAAGTCGTTACTTTCAGTTTCTCTGAAGCAAATTGATAGCTTGAACCCTTCTGGGTATTATCAATGCTTCCTGGATTCGTTGCTGCGAGGAGAAAGATATCAACTTGGCCCCCTTTCTCTCAGAGATTAAAACAAACAGGTGAGGCGCGTTTTCACTAAGTTTATTAAAATGGGTTTTTGTTAATTTTCTTCTTGTTGTAGTTGTTCATGTCTTTTCTTGTTAATTATTATGTTTGGATACACAACTTATTACGCTTTTGTACAATAAGTGCTTATCACATTTAAGTATATGCATAGTCTTAAACTGTTTTTGTAAGCAGAACTTATAGAAATAAGTTGAAAACAACTTACGCGCATGTCAATCGGTCTCACGAGTACTTATGCTAGTAATTAAGTTGAAATAAGTTAATCCAAATAGACTCTTTGACTTTGTGAATGAAGAGGCAAATTAGTTTGTTTGTATTCAACTTCTTGTGATATCTAATTGCCTGTGGTTTAAATTGGCAGAAAATGAAATTGTTCGAATGTTCCGCTTGCCTGATTCCCAAGAAGAAAACGATAGCCTTCCCGTGAAAGGTGGGAGAGTATTTTGGAAGGACCCTAATGCTAGAACATTGGATGAAAGATTCATTAGGATTTTGAAAATATTTAAATGGGGACCTGATGCAGAAAAGGCGTTGGAAGTGTTGAAGCTTAAGCTTGATATTCGTTTGGTTCGCGAGGTTTTAAAGATAGATGTTGAGGTTAATGTGAAGATTCAGTTTTTTAAATGGGCTGGGAAGAAAAGGAATTTCGAACACGATTCAACGACTTATATGGCTTTGATACGATGCTTAGATGAAAATAGGTTGGTTGGTGAACTGTGGAGGACAATACAAGAGATGGTTAAGAGTCCGTGCGCAATTGGTCCTTCTGAATTGTCTGAAATTGTGAAAATATTGGGTAGGGTTAAGATGGTTAACAAGGCGTTATCTGTTTTTTATCAGGTTAAGGGTCGCAAGTGCAGGCCTACATCGAGTACTTACAACTCCGTCATCTTGATGCTGATGCAAGAGGGGCATCATGAGAAAGTTCATGAGCTGTATAACGAAATGTGCAGTGAGGGTTATTGTTTCCCTGATACATTTACATATAGTGCACTAATATCAGTGTTTGCAAAGCTAAATCGCGATGATTCTGCCGTTAGATTATTTGATGAGATGAAGTGTAATGGATTACAGCCAACAGAAAAAATTTATACAACTTTAATGGGAATATACTTTAAGTTGGGTCGGGTTGAGGAAGCATTGAACCTAGTCCACGAGATGAGAATGCGGCGTTGTGCCCCAACTGTCTTTACTTATACAGAATTGATAAGGGGGCTGGGGAAATCTGGGAGGGTTGAAGATGCGTACGGAGTATATAAGAATATGCTGAAAGATGGTTGCAGACCCGATGTTGTTCTGATGAATAATTTGATTAACATTTTCGGTAGATCAAATCGCTTAAAAGATGCTATTGAGCTTTTCAATGAAATGAAATTACTTAATTGCACGCCTAATGTCGTGACATACAATACCATTATCAAATCATTATTTGAGGCCAAAGCTCCATCGGCTGAGGCTTCTTCATGGTTAGAGAGAATGAAAAAAGATGGAGTAGTTCCCAGCTCATTTACATATTCAATTCTCATTGACGGTTTCTGCAAAACAAATCGTGTTGAGAAAGCTTTGTTGCTTCTTGAGGAGATGGATGAAAAAGGCTTTCCACCTTGTCCCGCTGCATACTGCAGCCTAATCAATAGCCTCGGCAAAGCGAAACGCTACGAGGCTGCAAATGAGCTTTTCCAGGAATTGAAAGAGAACTGCGGAAGTTCGAGCGCTCGCGTGTATGCTGTCATGATTAAACATTTTGGAAAATGCGGGCGACTCAATGAAGCTATCGGTCTTTTCAACGAGATGAAAAAACTCGGATGCATCCCTGATGTTTATGCTTATAATGCTCTCATGACGGGGATGGTAAGGGCTGAGATGATGGATGAAGCTTTTTCCTTGTTTAGAACTATGGAAGAAAATGGTTGCACACCAGATATAAACTCACATAACATCATCCTAAATGGCTTGGCTAGGACTGGTGGCCCGAAACGCGCTATGGAAATGTTCGAGAAAATGAAGAGTTCTACTATTAAACCAGATGCGGTTTCTTACAACACCGTTCTTGGCTGCTTTAGTCGTGCAGGTCTATTCGAAGAGGCTGCAAAGCTTATGAAAGAAATGAATTCAAAAGGATTACAATATGATTTAATCACCTACTCTTCAATACTTGAGGCTGTTGGTAAGGTTGATGAAGATTACAATATGGTATAGTCATGAGAACGACCTGGTATTACCCTAAGTAGTTGCCACAAAATTTGTTGTTAACTTTCATGGTCATTGTCATTATCTAGTTGAAAGTTTTGTTCTACGAACCAATCCTTCCAACTATTGAATGTTTGCATACTCAACTTATTCGCCTCCTCCTTCTCATTATTCCATCATCAATTATTTATATTATTCTAAAGCACCCATAACATAACAACAACTCTACCTACAACCATCCTATCTTCTTTACTACATATGTTCTAAATTATCGTCTTCGGTTCATTTAAGGTTTGTAATCGAGGAGCGATGATGTCATCCAAATCTGCCACATTCCAGCAATGTGATGTTATTGTACAATCAAAGAACACATGACACTCATCTTCCACACCTCTTTCACATAACTGGCATATAGTAGGGCACAAAATAAAGTGTTGCCTCAGACGACTTAGAGTAAGAAGGCAACACGACATATCCATCAAAGTAAATGCTTAACTTTTTGTGGAGCTCTTATCTTCCACAAACTACTCGAATCACCTTCTACACTTCCCCCTCTTTGACTACTTTGAGAGCTTATCCACAATTTATACCTTGTTTTTACACTATAGATACAAGTTTGTTCCTCTCTCCAAATCAAACAATCCTTACTAACACCTTCTCATAGGGGCACCTTCTTAATTTTCTAAACATCCCATTGTTTACCACTCATAAGCATAAGATTTTCAACCTTCATAGTATACACATCTTGGTCTTGTGATGCACACACCCAACATTTTCCTTCACTTCTCAATCATGGTTCATACATTACATTAATCTTACTCTCATCCTCAATCTTTCATCTACACCTTAGGGTGAAGACCTCCCTCGCTTTCCATAAACTTCTCCAAACATAGCTAAGGTTGTTTCCAAGGGTCTTGTGATGCACACACCCAACATTTTCCTTCACTTCTCAATCATGGTTCAGACATTACATTAATCGTACTCCCATCCTCAATCTTTCATCTACACTTCAGGGTGAGGACCTCCCTCGCTTTCCATAAACTTCTCCAAACATAGCTAGGGTTATTTACAAAGGTCTTGTGATGTACACACCCAACATTTTCCTTTACTTCTCAATCATGGTTCAGACATTACATTAATCTTACTCTCATCCTCAATCTTTCATCTACACCTCAGGGTGAGGACCTCCCTCGCTTTCCATAAACTTCTCCAAACATAACTAGGGTTATTTCTAAGACTAACTTCAAAAATTGACAAACGAGAGAAATACTTAGCTTTGAAAACTCTAACTACCAAAATATCTAATTGCATCATAATATGTTACTCTTGCTTCGCCACCATAGCCATGTTAACTGCCTTAAAATCACGAAAGCACATACCTCCTTCATTCTTAGGACATGTCAACCTATCCCGCATCAACCATCTAATACCCTTATTATTATTATTATTGCCTCCTCCTCACCATAATGAATTTAACATATTCTCAATATCGTTCATCGTAGAATCTCATAAGATAAAGATATTCACATGAGAGTAAATAGCTTGCAAAACTAGCCTACTAATCAATTCTTGGGGAAATTTGTTTTTTCAATAATGTTGATGTGGTTGTTTTTCAGTGCAAATGTGCCAATTTTGTGCGATCTTGAAGAGAATTATTCAATAGCATGCTTCATTTCATATGATATTTATGGTGATGCAATGGAAAAGAAAAGTTTCCCAAATTAGACTCAGAACAAATGAGTAAGGGTGTCATTTGTCACCATTCACCACTGAAACCAAAGATTCTTCTTTGCATGTTATGGGCTTTGAGAACCTCCAAATTTTACACAACTCACTATTATGTACTATTTTTTTTTCCTAAAGATGCCTCCATTTTTTACCTGACAAAAAAAATGTATTAATGCACTTGCCAACAAAAGGGGCAACAATTTTCTTTCAAATCACATTAACAACTCCTTTCAAACAAAAGATACACAACTACACAATGAAGATAAATCATTGAGTTTCCAAACATGCACCAACAGTATGGGGGATAATTTTGCTGCCGCCGCGATAACCAAAACTGTTAAAACAGCATTGTTAACCACAATCGAACTTTGTCTAAATCTGGCAACAAATTTGAACAATGCTATATGGAATGAGATAACCAATCAGGCTTTAAAATATAAACATAAAAAGGAGGTCAAAGTTTCAAGTATAAATTGTATAGTCAGAAAACAATTGACTCATTATGCTTGTTTTAATGAGCAGAAAATAATAAACATATAACATTATTATTCATAAATTTGACATAAGAAAGCAATGAACTCTGAAAATGCCAACAAGGTCATGATAATATGGCTGGACTATCCAGTTTTGATTCCATAAAATGAACATTGCCTCAGAAATTTGAAGAATAGGCGAAACGCCTCAAATATGATACAACAACTAGCTGTCTGGTGTCAGCATTCTGTGTTACACAACAATGAGAACTACAATGCATAACACTTACAAGACCCGATTCAACAGAAACGTTAATCGTCTCTTTGCTCGAGTTTTGAAATCTCACTCTGCAATCTTTCAAAAATCTGTCTCTTTTGTGTTTCCAATTCAGTGAGGAAATCCATCCTCATTTTTTCCAGCTCCATTATCTGCTGCCTTTTATTATTTTCAATTTTTTCATATATCTTACTGAAATTCTGAATGGAATCAGCAAGTAATTTGAAGGAAGAAGCCTCGTCACTGCCTCTACCTTTTCTTCTTTTCTTTGCGCGAGGCCTTTCTAAAACTTCTATACCAGTGACTTCAGTATTCGTGGGATTATCCCTCGTGTCATCCAACCCATTTGCATGATGAACAAAAACTCTAGGCTTCATTAAAACACTTTCTCTTGAGTCCAAACCACAAGAGAAACCTGCTTGTTGCGGTGGAGAAGACATTAACTTATCCATCTTTTTGAAGTAAACCCATTTTCTATCTCCACCACCCATTTCTGAAAACTTAATCTTGTCCTTTTTGTATTTTTTCTTCAATGTATCCAAACGATTTCTACACTGAGTATCTGTCCTATCAACTTTTGAAACTTCTGATACCTTTTCTGCAACTTGTTGCCATTCATCAGACCGAAGACTCTTCCTTCCATGTTGAAGAAACCGATCACCCCACGCATCAAGAAGAACAAATGTCTCTTTCTCAGTCCATTCACTAAGCGAATTTCTAGCACCAAAAGATGGTTTAGTAGCTGAAGAAGCTGCAGCGGATGGTTCAGGCACCCGAGCTGCAAATTCATAGGTTGACATCAAACTCTTTAGCTTTTGCTTTTTCGGGTGCCACTCAAATTCATCTTCATTCATCATGGCATAAATTTTCTGCTTATTGTCATTATCTCCGTCATTGTCATCACCATTTTCATCCCTATCCTGATCCCCATCCCCATTCCCATCAATGTTATCTTCATCCCTATCCCCATCCCCGTCATTGTTATCTTCTTCATCAACATGATTTCGGGAAAGCTGAAAGTTGTTATTTTGATCAACATCATCATCACCGTCACCTTCATGTTCCCCCACTAACCGCTCTTCATCTTCTTCATCCCCATCATTGTTACCTTCATTTTCAAATGGCCGGGAATATGGAGAATTCCTCATAGGATGTTTCAGATAACCATACTCCTCACTCTGTTGTTGGTCATTATCATCATTTTCATCGCCATCCACATCCACGCCATCATCTTCATCAACATGATTCATGGAAATACGAACTCTCCTATTTTGATCAACATCATTCTCATCATCATCATCATCATCATCATCATCCACAACATCATCTTTCCCTCCTAACCTATATTCATCTTCTTCATCACCACCATTAAAATCCTTGGCAGATTCATTTACAACTGGATGGGGGGAATAAGAAGAATTCCGAAAAGGATGTTTCTGATAACCATAACCTTGATTATGAGGGTGACTAACAGCATAAGGGTTAGGGGGATACCTAGCAACTGCATCATTCTCAATGTCATCCATTTAGAATCCAATGACAATTCACAATTATACAACTTGCAAGGAAACTAAAACTATAGAAAAATTGGTTCTCAGTGATTACCAATCAATCACCAATCCTAATTCCTAAAGTGTGGCTCCAAAATCAAACCCCTAAACTAGATTAAAACTCGTCCTTGATTCAAATCCACAATCATCTTTCTTGGCTTCATGCAATCATAGAAGGGTGAAAAAAAATGCAACTTTATCACAATAAAAAAAGGAAATAGTTGCGTGCAAGCAAAACCCTGAAAATTGATGGCAAAAATGAAATGAAATTATGAAACTAAATTAGGGAAAAAAAATATATAAGCAGAAAGAGAATAAAGAGATGTGTGCAATTGCAATGAATAAGCTGAAATTGAAATTGAAATTGAGATGAGATTGAAGGAGTTATGTTACCTGAAAAAACGCAATTTGAAAGGGAAATGAGAAAAAGTATAATTACAAGTTGCGCAGAAAGAGAAAGAGAGAAAGTGTGTGTAATCGAGGGAGGAGATGCTCATTGCTAACATGAGCCAGGTAGGTGTACTATAACATATATTTCAATTTAATTATATCCCTTCTTGAATACTCCTCTATCTCATAATGGATCCAACTACTCTAGCTATATACTTTAGAGTGTAATAAAATGCATAATCTCAATAGTATTATTAATATTATTATCTTGGTTACAAAGAAGAAAACAAACTAAATTATTAAAAATAAAGTTTTTGTTTGGCAGGGCATATGAGATTGGTGTATCTAGTATTTGTATGAATATGAGATTGTTTTCTCTCAACTTCAAGACTAAAGTATTTGTAATTGTACCAAGCTTGGATCCTAGGCCCATTAGAATAGCTATCACTTTTAAGAAAATGTGGGAGTGAACAATTAGTTCCCTATTTTTTAGGAGACCATGGCTAATTTTCTCCTGACTCCTTCTACACCGTTGTGGACCAAGGACACATAACCTTCCACATTTGCATGCTTTGGACGAGTTACACCAGAAGTTGGTGACATATTTGAGGAGATGGAATCACGTCTACTAAATGAGCGATCGATCTAAGAAATGGGCAATAAGGATGGCATTACTGGCGAGATGTCACATCAATTGCCTTTCATGTCGCCCCTTGTAGACCCTTCACTAATATACCAATACACGACCCTTTAAGCACGGGGAGTTGGAAAGGGCGAAGTTATTTAGTTTCGTTATCTTTCTCCCCATCTGAGTAACCCTTACAACATTCTTTTGCATGAGCTGAGTTCGGGATATATATGTTCAAGTGTCAATAAGGTGAATCACACATAATTCAGTTGAAGAAAATCAAATGTCAGTCAATTGAGGGGAATCAAACGTTAGTTGAGCTTAGGGAAATCAAACGTCAGTTGAGGAAAGTGTGCATTGCATTGAATGAGATTGGTGATGATTTTTCTTGGAAGCCAAATTTGGCTTTACTTCTTACGCCCTGGCGTGGGGAATTTTCCCCTTTTCATGTGACTGTTTAAGTGCTCAGTGGGTGGAGGTAGGTTGTCCCTACAACTGAACGTCTCCCTTCATATAAAAAGATTTTAGTTTTTCTCATTTGATCTTTTTTCGCATTCTCTCCACCTAAACTCTCATTCATATAGTTAATGGCTCTTATAAGCGTATAATGCATTCACTTCACAAGTTCTTAGTCGTGGTTGTAGGTACAATTCCGCTATTTACTTACTCATTCTTTTATTAATGGTAATTATCATATTTTGGGATGTTTAAAGAGTGAATGCACACTTATTGTCCCGAATTAGGCCTCTAGAGACGTGAGAACCCTAATAGTTTTGTTAGTGATTGATTTTCTTTAGCTTCCTATTCTTAACCGGAGTCGATAGCGGGAAAAAATGACAAATGTTTCAACCTCCAAGGCTTTGCACCCCTATATTCTAATGAAGAAAGGATAATTGCTTTTCGACGGCAAATCAGACTTTTTAACACTGGACATGAGGACAATGTGATTTTGGAACTAAGCTCTGAGGGGTAGATAACCAATATGGTCGCCCTGGATGACTCGTTCACCCCTTATTTCTAGTTGCATCTCACAATCATTAATGATTTAGAGGTCTTAATACCTTTCACACGTTTGAAGCCGAGTTTCTAACAACTGCAAATTTCACTCCTTCTCGAGTTACGCCCAATGTATGGGGGTATTGTTAGGGCGTCTAAAATTATGGTATCAAAATCATCACCAAAATTTGTTAGGTGACCTTATGAGGTCTTCCAAAATAAAGGTTGTTAAAGCTCCACTCCAAACCTTACACGGATTGGAAAAATAAGTTCGTGAGGGCCAGAGGGTGAGAATGTGACTACATGATCACGACTAGGGCGACTGGTGTAATACCTTACTTCCTGACCCGATAATTAATTAAATAAAATATATATCCAACAAGTAGAATGTTACTCAACATACCAACGTCTGATACTTGAACCACATAATTAAAAATGAAATTGTTTGATAAGCAGCGAAAATTATAAAACATTTGGCATAAAAGCCTCAACAACGAAATTCGAAAAATGGTTCAATGATAAAGGCAAATGAAGATATGCAACATAATATAAATGATAAAATAGTTCGTCCCCTCGAGTTACATATCAGAGTGACTCCAATTATAAACTCGAACGACAAGCAACTAAAGAGGCACATCATTGTCCTCAACCTCAAGCTCCAACTTAACTAATTAAATTAGCACAAATACCGTCACCAGACAAACATGTCACATATTGCAAAATAATTATTTAAATAAATTACTTAACTAAAATAAATAAGCGAATAATCAAATGGGGGCGTTACAACTCTCCCCCACTTAAAAGAATTTTCGCCCTTGAAAATTACCTGACAAAAAATGCTCTGGATAAGATTATCTCATCCAACTCTCGAGCTCTCACGTTATACTGCCACCAGCAAGACCTCCCCAAACAACTTTCAGCAAAGCGATCTCCTTGCCTCACAAGCTCTTCACCGAAACGATCCTCAATCATCAACAACAAAGTCTCAACTTTAAAATTCTCTCTAACTTGAACATCATCCAACTGGATCACATGAGACAGATCAGGAATGTACTTCCTCAGTTGAGACACGTGAAACACATCACGAAGATTCGAAAGATATGAAGGCAACACCACTCGACATGCCACCTCTCCTACTCCTTAAAGAATCTGAAACATATCAATGAAATGCGGCGTAATTTTTTTAGACTTCAACGTGCGACCAACACAAGTTACTAAAGTATCTCTTAAGAACACATGATATCCCTCTTGGAACTCAAGTGTTTCCCTCCTCTTGTCATGATAGTTCTTTTGACGACTTTTGATCGCGACTTTCTATGTCTAATACAACTTAACTGCAAGTGCACAGTCTATCGCGTAGTAATAAAAGATATCGATCCCACAGGGACTCGTAATCAAACTAGTGTTCTCGGGAGTTACTATGTTTAGCTAGGTAGATAATGTTTAATGGAATAATTTCTGTCACTAAAGGGAACTAAAAACGTTACTTGAATTATAATTACGTGAATCGATATGCAGTAATTATGTTCTTCGGGGATTTGACAAGTTACCGGTATATGAAATATTTTTCAGAATTTATTTAAGCAGAAAATAGTGATCTGAAGACTTTCGTCTCACGGTGGTTGTTGATGCTAGTCATAATTCTAAGGGCCGAATATACGCTTTCGCTGTCCCATTCGGGGTTAAAACTACTTTTTGGAAATCTCTAAGTTCTAATCCATTTTAAAGTGCTTTCGCTGTTATTAAAACAAATGCCTAGTGTTTACTATCTGGTCTTACCGCAGCTGTCGCTTGTTGGTTCGTACCTTAATTAATTTCCCACTGTCGTGGCAAAACTACTTTTAAATAAGTTCTCGCTTTCGCGACGAACGTTTATTCAGTAAATAAGTTTAAACACTCAGACCATAAACAACTTTTGAAAAAGAAAGTTTTCAACCGGTTATTATCAAATCCCGTCTAAATTATTATTACATATTGATTACTCTAATTTAGCTAGACATGGATTTGGGAAAGGTAAAACATAAATAAAAATAGAAACTTAGAACATTCATAGTACTGAGAATTAAAGTTACAATTAACGAAATAATGAAAAACCTGTAACGTATCCAATTGGCTTTTGGCCGAATCCCAACGATGTCGGCAGGATTATGTCTTCAAACCAATAGAGCGCACAAACGAATATTGTAGAAATGGAATACAGGAATAGGGAAAGGAAACAAAAACAGAAAGAATAAAACTAAATTTTGCTCTGGAAATAAATCTGGGCAGCACTTCGTTGTCTGAATGTGGCCCTCTTTCTCAGCTCCCCTCCTTCCCCTTTTATAGAAGTAGAATTCTAACGGTTGTAATTTGAAGAAGGTGGACTTGGAGGCAGAAATATCAGAGAGTAGTGGTACATTATTTGGGACTTGGAACTGTATTTTGCACGTTCAATTGAAGTTGTGCGTTTTTGCCTGCATGACGGTCGTCATGGTGTGTGACGGTCGTCATGGAGGTGTGACGGTCGTCACAGCAGCAAAATGTGCATTCTGCGTTTTTCATGTTGTTTTCATCTGGTTTTCGTCCATATTTCATCTGTAATTGCTTCTTTTCTTCATATTGCTTTGTTTAGACATGATCATCAAATACCTGCAAAATATCAGACAAATAACATGGAAAGAACCCGAAATCGGATTGAAACCAATCAAACATTAGTTGAATTATGCGTCAATATATATATATATATATATATATATATATATATATATATATATATATATATATATATATATATATATATATATATATATATATATATATATATATATATATATATATATATATATATATATATATATATATATATATATATATATATATACGATTTCGTGTTATCAAACTCCCCTAAGCTTGAATCTTTGCTTGTCCGTAAGTAAAAGAGGAAAAAGTCGGCAAGCACGAGGCAGCTTCCTCATTCAGAAAG